CGGGGCGCGGCCGGGGTGCGCCGGGCCCAGGCTCACCTGATTGAAGTGCGCGGCGATGAGCGACGGCTCCCACGCCTTCGAGTTGATGGTGGCCGAACCTCCTTTCTCTTTCTTGGGGGCCATGCGAAGGCCGGAGGAGAGCTGGCCTCTGAATTAGGAGCCGGCCAGGACTAAGCGTCCCTGTTGCCCTGGCAACCGAAGCCACGCGGGTTCCCTAACGGCCGGTTTCCCAACGCCCGCGGCCCGCCTGCGCCCCAGGCGCCGGGCTTCCGGTCAACGGCTTCCGTCGCCATAGCAACCGAGCTCCTGGCCCGCGGGTGAAAGCGCAGGGCTTCGCCGCAGGAGACCCGGGCCGCGGAGGAGACGGCGAGGGCCGACCAGGCCGCTTTCCTTTCTTCACCAGCTTGGACCCTCTGCTCCTACTTGGATGGAGCCTTCTCTGGCCCACGGCGTTGTCTAGAAACTCAGCCCCTGGAATCCGGGCCACGACCTCCCGCCAGGACTTCTTCCATCGGGGGTAACCCAGGATGGAGAACTGACCCGGCAGGAGGCGACCCAAGCCGGGTTTCGCCTCCGCTCGCACCTGTCCACATGCTTCCTTTTGTGAAGCCACATGTGCCCCCAGCCTCTGCTTTCATCTCGGTCCTGCCTCCCAGGGCCCTTCCCAGGGGTCCAGTAATTCCTCCGCGAGGGCCTCCGTGGAACTGTAGAGGGGCCGGTCTCTTTCTGAATCTCCTCCTTTGCCTGAGCAGACCCAGTTCCTTCAGCTGTCCTGCACCGTCAGCAGTGTCTTTCAAATACTAAGACATCCTGGTCAGATTGGGTCCCCCAAATAGTAATAAAGTAACAATAATGCTAATTGCACAGCTCTTGTGTCTTGAACACTGGTTATATCCTGTACAGCACAGTTGTATCATTTAGTTCTTACAACCACCTTATTTCAAGCCCCATGGGGCGTGACTGAGGGCACCAGGATTAGAATGTAGCTATTATCTGAGTCCCAGATCCAGTATGGTCACCCTCTGCACTACCACCTACACTGTTTCAGGCCTTCCAGAAAGAACAGATGTCCCCTTCTGGGCCTAGACTTACTTTATTTTTTATTGCAATGAGACGAATTTAAGAGTAAAATTTCTGATGATGCCAGAGGGATGATGCCAGAAAGAGGTTTTCCTGAGCGTCTCCACAGCAACCACCGGGACTGCCACTAATTCATTATCATGGAGTTTTCTCCAAATTTTTGTTCTTCACTAAATGTTTCTTTTTAAGATGAAAACTGTCTTTGGATTATGGCTTGGACATAAAGATTAATCTGTTGCAGACAAAAATAATAAATGATTACATCATTCTGAATTTTGATCATAATTACTCTCATAGGTTTAAACAGCTTGGGAAAGAAGTCCTGCACTTTTATTAGAAAAGCAGTAAAGAAAACTGTTGGCCTTCCAGTTATGTTCTACAGAAAATTTAATGATGTTTATGTATGTCATGCTATGTTACTAATTTTCTTCTTGAATGTAAATGCATGTTTAAAAATAAACATATGTACAGTCAGTTCAGCCACACCACCAGCAGATGATTAATAAAATAGGCTGCAGATAAGAAAGAGAAACAAAGAAGAAAAAATAGGAGAAACATGTAAAATTAAGTATTATTTTAAATTGTAGAGACAGTGCCACTAATTATGTCTTCCAAGCGACAGCTCTCCAACCCCAATTTTGGTAGCAATAAAATGTTTGTGACATTTATTGTGGCAAAAACTAAAGCTGTTCAATAAACATTTGGTTTTCTTTCCTACTACTGTGAGAGTCAATGCTTTTCAACCTTCCCTGTCCTTAGGTGTGAGAATGTGATTGAGTTGCAGTCGGCGGACATGAGCACAATGCTGTAACTGCCACAGGCACGCCTGGCCCATGAGAACAGCCCCCAAGCCTTGTTCACGCTCTTCCCCCATCTGCCCAGATACTGGGGTGACAGTGAAAGCTGCTGTGGCAGAGAGCACTTTCCCCGACCGTCATCCTGCCCTCCACCAAAGGCATTTGCTTGGGTCTGTTAATTGGATGAGAAATACATCTTAATATTCTTAAGCTGCTGAAATACTGGGATTTGTTATACAGTCAGTTACCCTAAATAATCTAACATTTTTGATCACTTTCATATGAGAATCAGCTTAATACATCTCATAAAACAACCTTGTCACTTTCCAGTAGGCAGGACTCAACGCTAATTCCTACTGTGAGAAGCACACGGATCTAATCCCTGCCTTTAGGGAGGTATTACCCACCCGATTGCACCCCTTACCTGGCCTTCTGTTTATACAGTACATTCTTGAACTTTTTTATCAAGTAAATTTCTTACTGGAAGAAGTGGTTTTCATATTAAAGTAATACAATAAACTAGTCTGCTGATGTCACAAACATAAAAAATTTTGCCCATTTTTCAGATGAAAACAAGATCCATTGCCTAGACATCTATATATATAAATTATAATTTAGCAAACGATTGAAAGGAATAGAACATATTTTAAAAGCCAAAAATCAGGAAGAGTGTATTTCCCATATAATCTTTTATACTTTTCTTTGTAAGGTCCTACCAGAATAAATTTAAACATAGAAGGTTTTCAAAAATTGATTTAGATAATTTTTTATTACTCACCTGAGGATATGTTTTTATTGATTTTAGAGAGAGAGGAGGGGAGGAGAGGGAGAGAGAGCAGTGTCAATGTGAGAGAGGAACATTCATCAGTCACCTCTGGTATGCTCCCTGACAGGGGATCTGCTGGGGATTGAACCCACAACCTCTGTGTGTGCCCTAACCGGAATCGAACCCCTGAACCTTTGGTGCATAGGACAAAGCTCCAATCAACTGAGCCACACTGGCCAGGGTTGATTTAGATAATTTAAAATAAGGGTTTTATTACAGAATGTTTTTTGCCTAGTTTTGGCCTTTTTCATTATTCTAGGGTAAGTGGTACTCTTGGTAATTTATGACACAAAACGGGAAGACATTATTCAGCAACCAAATTTATAGGGGGTTTCATCATAGAATTGGTCTGTTTAATTTCAGAGAATAGGTGTGAATGACAATATTCATAGTTTTAAGAAGCGAGAGCCATTCAGCTAAAAAGGGACCCTGCCAAGAATAGAAAAAAAAAGCATTACCATCTGTCAGACATTTATGCTTTTTTGGTATAATAAATTGTTTCCCCCACTAAATATAAGTTGAAACTTTATAAGCATATACTTTACTACATAAATTTTCCCATATGTCAGTGGCTAAAACAAAACTATACTATTTGGAGAATTTTCTTTCACATTGGCAGGCTTATTCCTGGTTTGTTCAATTTTGCTTTTCCAGTAAGATTTTGCATTTAATATTGTTTAGCTTACCAATGATTGTCTACTCTTGAGGACGTGCTGCTTTTTTAGGATACTATGATTGCTGAATAAAGTTTTTTTCCAGGTTTATACTTTAATCTTACAGTATTCGGTAAACTCCTACTCAGGTGTGATGTCTGAGGCATTATTTCTCATACTTGAAAAGGTCTAGCCAGCTATTGATGCATCCAGATTTCTACTGCTATCAGGGATCAGGAGCTACGGACCAACTCACTCCCAGGCCAAGATTCCAGGTACTCAAAGTACACTTAGCTGCAGCAATCCGCTTGCCGCTGGCTAGGAAAGCTTCACAGATGCTCACTACATCTAAGAACGCCTCTCACTGTTTGTTTGTGTTATTTACCGTCACGATCTTTGTGTTTATAACCTTCAAAGTAGAATGTTATAATGCGCCGTCCTTGAGTTTTTATTGTGTGTGATGCAGAAGGCTTGATCTCTTTCAGCTACAAGGTCCAAAACATATGGAGGGTATTACACCTGCATTTTACGCTCAGCATTAGCTTCCTATTCAGTTGTGAGTGCAATTTAAAGTGTTGACTTTAATCTTTAAAGCCCCTCATTGTTTAGAAGCCAGTTACTCCAGATATCACGTCTCTCCCTATGCATCATCATGGCAATTAAAATCAGCTGCAGTACTTGCAGTTCCTAATCCCCAGTGAACTGTGGGGAGCCTGGGAGTATATCGCTCTCTAAAGAAGAACTTCCCTGAGATTCCTCTTTCTGTCAATGATAAAAGCAATAATTGGAGTTTATAGTTTTGGCCTTGAATGTCCTGTCATATGTCTGTAGGTTCCTGGAACTATTATTAAGTGCTGTTGATTTAATTTTTATGTTATTTTTGTGTTATTTGTGGCCAAGAGTTTAGAATACCAAATCTACCTTTTAATGAATCAGAAAAATAACAGTTGTGTATATTAAAAATAGAAAAAGCTGAAATTCATCTGTTTCATATTTGTTAGTGTGGGAGTCTTCACTCCAGTATTCTCCCACTCAAGTTTTTCTTCGAATCTAATTTTAAATACTTTCAGTAAAGGGATTTGCCATAAATACTTTGGGGACTATTTCGAAATCCATAACTCATGGTAAGGCATTTCTCTAAATGCTTAGCTAAGTGTTTGATTTCTTAATGTTTTATCAGATGTCTGTGATTTCAGAATTGTGCTATGTGAAATAGTAACTTTCTTTTTACTGTATACCAGGTTCAAAAGCTATTGTTGAGGTGAACCTGCATCAAAGCATATTATGCCAGACCATGGAGCGATCTTCAGGGGAGAAAAGGTGATAGGTAACGGGGCCTTGAGAAACTGGCAGCCTTATGTATAATGGTTTAAACAAAGAATGGCATCTGCTACTTTTCTTACTCCTCCCTCAACTTCTCTCTTTCTCTTTCCCAGCCTGACCTTCTCTGACCATCAAAATTCCTTTAAAAATACAGGGCATGACTAGGAAGATGTCTGAATGACTTCCAAGGAAGTCAATCTCTGACTATAATCTTGTAAATATTAAATGCAGCTATAAATAGTTACCTTTTCTATTGTATGTATGCCAATCCATGTTTCCGTGAATTAATTTTGCTTTTGCTGGCTTCCAATTTTTATGAAATATTCTGGTGTTAAATGAGCCCAAATTAAGACTATCTGTAGGATTCTATACTGTTCCACTTTCTGAAAAGGGGTATTATTCAGTGGAACTAATCTACTTCATTTCCTCTTACATTTCAAACTCATAGATTATTTGTTTA